GCAGCCCCCCAACCCAATCCCACTACCACTCACCCTATGGTCACCCGGTCCAAGGTCGGCATATCCAAGCCCAAACATATCATTAACCTTATCGTATTCCCCACTCCCACCCGCATATCGTAGTGCACTAAAGGATCAAAACTGGTACAATGCTATGTGTGATGAATTTAATGCCTTGATTAAAAACGAAACATGGGAATTAGTACACCCCCCCTCCCCCTCACAAAATATTATCACTGGCAAGTGGCTTTTTCGCCACAAATTTGGTCCTACAGGTGAACTGTCCAGGTACAAAGCTCGATGGGTGGTTCGTGGATTTAATCAGTGCTATGGCATCGACTACGACGAGACATTTAGTCCTGTTGTTAAACCAGCCACGGTTCGGATTGTTCTCACTCTTGCTTTATCTCGCGGCTGGCCGATTCATCAACTAGATGTCAAGAATGCTTTTCTGAATGGTACACTCAATGAGACAGTCTATGCCTGCCAGCCTTCAGGTTTTCAGGATCCCGCTCGCCCACATTTTGTGTGCAGGTTGAAGAAGGCTCTATATGGGCTCAAGCAGCCCCCGCGTTCTTGGTATCATCGGTTCGAGGTTTCCTTCTCACTTTGGGCTTTCGGGGCTGCAAAAGTGACACGTCCCTATTTGTGTACTCTCATGGTTCTGACATGGCTTATCTTCTTCTTTATGTGGACGACATAGTTGTCACAGCCTCCTCCACTGCTCTTCTCACCCGCCTTACTCAGAAACTTATGGGAGAGTTCGCCATGACAGATATGGGGGACCTCAATTTTTTCCTTGGGATCAATGTTTAGCGCACTGGCGGCGGCCTCTTTCTTCACCAAACACAGTTTGCTCATGAAATCCTGGAACGTGCTGACATGCTCCACTGCAAGCCCATCTCTACGCCAGTCGACACCAAAGCAAAGCTGTCAGCCACGTCCGGAACTCCACTTCCGGACCCCTCCATATACAGATCCATCGTCGGCGCCTTACAGTATCTTACTTTCACTCGGCCTGATCTTACTTATGCAGTCCAGCAGCTCTGCCTACATCTTCATGCCCCCCGCAGCACCCATCTCACAGCTATGAAGAGGGTTCTACGTTACATTCATGGGACTGCCACTCATGGCATCACACTTCACCGTACGGGCACAGATTCTTTGCAGGCCTACTCCGATGCTGATTGGGCTGGATGCCCCGATACTCGTCGCTCCACCTCGGGGTACTGTGTCTTCCTTGGAGACAACCTCATCTCATGGTCCTCCAAGTGCCAGGCCACCACCTCCCGCTCCAGTGCTGAGGCCGAGTATCGTGCCGTGGCAAACACCGTAGCTGAGGCAAGCTGGGTCCGAAATCTTCTCCTTGAGCTTCAACAACCCCAGCGGCGTGCCACATTAGTCTTTTGCGACAACGTCAGTGCTGTGTATCTGTCATCAAACCCAGTACAGCATCAGCGCACCAAACACGTATAAGTCGACATCCACTTTGTCAGAGACAAGGTTGCCCAAGGACATGTCAGAGTATTACATGTCCCCTCCTCTTCTCAGTATGCAGATATTTTCACTAAAGGGCTTCCATCTCTTCTCTTCTCTGACTTCAGACATAGTCTTGGCGTCCGTCCTTCGCCGGTCACGTAGTTGGGTGCATGTTAAATATGTTAAGTATATATTTAATATGAATCATGTGATTATTGTAATTATGGTAGTTTACATGTAAAGGTTTCCTTACGTAATTAGGAATCCTCTGTAACTATTTATACGAGGCTTCTCCCTCATTATTTCTTAAAAGAAAATAATAATTCTTCACATAATAATAAATAATTTAATTATTTTCATTTTGATAATTTACATCAAAACAATTCATTTCTCTTTTTCTTTTTCTGAATTAAATAACTCTATACAAATTTTCATCTCACTTTAACTCATTCTTAACATGCGTAAACACCAAATGAAAGGAGTAAAAAATATTACTGTAGTAAATTACTATCCTTTTTTACCTTTTTAATTTGTACCACTATTATATTACTAGAGTATTCACCCAGATGCACGGTAAGAATTTTTTTTAAAAGAAGAAGTTATTAATGAGAGGCTCTCTGAATTGCACATTTTAAATTTCTATTTTCCTATTATAATGATCTAAATAAAAGTACATTTATTCTAAGAGTAATTGCATGGTTTACATTATTATTCTTTTTCATAGTAATTGGTGTCAAGATATTATTACTCTATATATTAGAGCGTTAAAAAAACAAAGGAATCACAATAAAATAATTTGGGCAAACGAAGCAAAACAGGGAAAATGAGACATAACCATGTGTACATATGAAAGTAGTAGTCACATTATGAATGTACTACTCCCTCAGTCCCAATTTATAGTGCATGTTTCAGTTTACGATGTTTGATTGAAATTATATTCAAAGCATATGACAAATGGTATAGAATTAAAAAATAAAAATTACATATTAAAATACTACATCAAAAGATCTACAAAACTATTAGTGACAGGACTACTTTATTTTATCAAATTGCTAACGAAAATAGAGAAAAAAAGTGAATGAAGTTTGACCATGTGAATAGTGAAAATGCACTATAAATTGGGACGAAGGAAATACTAGTTAAGAAGCGATGGAATCATGATCAACTTAGCATTTTCATCAACATGAGTTCTGCAAATTAAAACTCATAGTATGAGAATAGGCATTCAAAAAGTCCTAGATTTGTGCAAGGTCTGTTAATAATGCAAAGAATGAAATCCATGAACATCTGGTATTAGTGAAATAGAGAAAGGGAGTACCATTTTTGGAAGCCCCTCCGATGAAGAAAGCCAATAGGCAAGGCTAGAATCAATTTTGAGGCACCGTGGGTTTTAATATGGAGTATTCTACAGCGAGATTGGCAAATGTTTGACGTGCAGTAGTTTTTAATATGCTTAGCAACCGTTCACACTTTAGGTAGGAAGAAATTCTGGCGGGAAGAAATTTCTGCTGTTATTGTAGGCGGGAAGAAATTCTGGCAGGAAGAAATTCCTGCTGCTATTGTCAAATATTTGTACGGTTTACATTTATTTTTACTTTTAAACATCGATATTAGTTACTCAATCTAACATACTTTTTTGTTAAATTTGTTTCACTCCATGTCTGTCTCAAAAGTCATGTGGAGTGGCAAGAAATAAGAAATTGCACAAGTCATGTTGGAAGGTGAGAAATGGAAAAAGAAATCAATTCTCAAAACGAGCTTGGGAGGGTTTTGTTCAATCAAAATGGGGCAGATTATGTCCAAACTTGGAAGTGTTTCTCGATGGATTTTTTGTTTATAGGAATGCTCTTTCTATAGGGTCTACCCAACCCAATTTTGAGACCAATGCAGTTTTTGTTTCATCTTCGTTCTATATATGCACAAAGGAAATGAAACCAGACCAGCAGCTTTCCTTCGAGCAGCTTGAATTGCAACTTTCATCACATCAATGTGTTTTGTATGAGTTATTCCATTCTCAAGGAATTCAAGCCGCTCCTCAACTTGTTTGCCGAGCATCTCCCCAAAAACTATAGTACCTTTCCCTACAAGGAAAAACAAGAAAATTTCCATGAACAAAGGTGCGAGCGAGCAAATGAGGTCAAAACAAATTTTTTAAAATACACCAATGGAATACATACTAAAATATAAAGAGAAAAATTGCATGACGACCCACGCATTAACAGTACTCCGTATCTCTTTTTGTGGACCCTAGTTTTAAAAGGGGAGAGACACCACTAAATATATTCACATAAACACATAAATACCAAACTACATACCAGAAAAACACTGCATGAAACACTAAAACATTCAAAACATAAATTATTTTGAAGTTCAAGATATAAAAATAACTTCAAAAATTGTCCGTACCAAGATAGAAAGCAAAGGAATAAATAAAAACATAAAGAAGTTAAGTAGCACAAACACATTAGAGAAATACAGAGAGCAAACACAACTAAGGATTTATGCAATACAAACACAATTTTCATTCTTCTTTTTCTCCTTATGCATCGCCCTTTTTCTTCTTCTCCAACGCCTTTCTTCTTTTTCTCCTCATCCATCCCTCTTCTTTTTCTTCTCATCCATCGCCATCCAGATCGTCGCCCCAACCCCCACATCGCCGCCCCGTCCCAATTGTCTCCACCATCCTAATCGCTGCCTCCATCTCAATAATTAGCCTCCATCTGAGGTAAATTGCGTCACTACCGTCCCCGTCTGCAAGGTGTTTGATAAAATGCTTCAAAGAAATTTGATTTTCTAGATAACAAACAAAAATAGATACTTTTCAACTTTTAGCCAAACACCATGAAATTAAAACGACCTCAAGAAAATAACTCATTCAGAAGTCATTTCATGATTTCCAAACAGACCCTAAAAGAGGAAATTAATTAGATTACAGGGATGTTCTTCCTTATCCCAGAGGTAATGCCTTGTTTGGTGATTGATAGAAGTTAGGATGGGGTAGGGATCACTACACTAGGTCATAAGAGACTTGGGTGGAACCACATTAAAAGATTAAATCGAATCGATTACTAAGTTCAACTAAAGACCTTATATACCGATTATCTATTCAACTCCAGATGTAGGATAGACTGTAACACTCCCCCTGAAATGGACAATTGGTCCATTTTGAATCTAACCAGTTGACCACTTGTAAATGGATTCTCATCTCCTTAATTTTTTTAGCGCCAACAGCTAAAGGACAACAAGCCACTGTGTATGGACTTCCAGACGAGGAATCGGGTTAAACGAGCCACAGGCTGTTGGGTACATACTCCATACAGACAACTAGGCTAAAGAAAAACGCTAGGAATGAACGTCTAGACGGAAACCTTGACAAACGAGGTGGGCCAAAACCTGCTCTGGTACCATGATAAAATTTAGGATGTGGTAGGGATCACCGTACTGGGTCATAAGACCCTTGAGTTGAATCACATTATAAGATTGAATCCAATCAATTACTTAGTTCAACTTAAGAACTTATATACCGATTATTTATTCAACTTCCGATGTGGGATAAACTCAGATACCAGCCCTACCTATCAGCTTAAACTTTTGGATTAGAATAGTGGATCACGACTTGATATGCAAGTGGTTAATTTTATCTGATTTTCTACCCGTTGTTCTCGGCCCACCGGAATTTTAACATGGTATCGAAGCAGGTCCGGTCCGGGTTTGATTGTTCCTGGTTGTTTATATGTGGGTTTAGCAAAATGAGCTACCCAACTATGGGTTGGGTTGAGTTGGCTATAAAAGAATGAGAAGTCACTATCCGTTGTGTGGACTAGCTAAAAGAGATTAAGATGCTAGACCCGTTTGTCCAAGTGATAACTAGACCAGGCTAGTTACCACTTGAAGGAGAGTGTTGAAGTGGCTACATCGAAAAATAAACTCTGATACTAGCCTTACCTATGAGCTTAAGCCTTTGGGTTAGAATAGTGGATCCTGACTTTATATGCAAGTGATTAATTTTACCTGACACACCACCCATAGTTCTCGGCCCACCGGAATTTAACAGTGATTAAAAAATGTGGAGTAAATAAACAATATTCTAAATCAATATCTCCCCCAAAATCCTCGCTCAATCTCCCTTCCTCCTTACTTTATTTGTTGGTTACAAGAATAATCATTAAAAGGAGAAAAAAGAAGAGGAGAGAAAAAGAGAGAACTAGGGATTACATCTTTCTTGCAATTTTGCAAACAATAGAGGTGTGCTTTGAGATGAAAGAGAAGACCTAGCAGCTTGTATCTGCGTGTCCATAAAATATAAGTCCTAACATCCATTTTCTGCACTTTCGAGAATGCTTAGGTGGCGCAGCTAGCGCCTTACACTCAAAATGAGGTAGCTGGTAGCACTCCACCCATGGATGTTAGATGTGGACGAGGTGACAAGAGAATTTGAACTCCTCGCTAAACTATTCACTCTAGACGCACACTATAAAACTAACTCATTGAGATTGTAGAAACATAGAGAATTGTAACCAGTTTGGAGAATTAAAACATACTTTCAAGAAAGCAAGAATGCAGTATAACCTCAGAAGTCAGAAGTTAGATTTTACAACTAAACCATCTAAGTACTAACTATAATATACAACACGCATAGATAAGCACTACGTGTAGAATGTTTCCTCTTTGCCAAAGGCTTGAAGTGTAAACGGGCACAAGCCAGCTAGATTAATCAGACTGCCAAACAGAGATATCAACCTAGCCCCAATAACAACACCTATAAGAGATATACCAGGTTTGGTGCAATATCATTCATTTTGGAGGCTAGGTTATGATGTTGTACTCTATGCCCATAGAAGTCTGTCACTAGGTGAGCAAATCGTTGAATATCCATTGTGTCAATTGGAGACAAATCATGCCCTACATGTAAGAAAATGCAACTAAACAAATAATTAAATATATATATACAGTTTAACATAAAGGTTATTTATACATTAAAGCAAAGAAACAAGTAAAAGAAACATCTAAAGGTTATTTCATTTGATTTTGGTATTTGCTTGGGGTATGATTTAGTTGTGAGTACTTCTCTTTCACTAATGTATTTTCTTGTTCTCAGGGATTCTTACAGTTGAACTTTTACGTTTCTTGAATGACAAATTCCCCAAAGGCGATTATTGGTGTATTTACGAAAAGTCCCGCACTTGCAATACTAAATATTCGTCACAGAGCAGATAAATATACTTGGGGGCTCCTCAAGGGGATCCGAATTAATTTTGAGAGATATATGGGGTTGAACCCCGGTGATCTTGAAAAAGCCCAGCGTAGCCTTGCACGTAGTTATAGCAGTGCTAAGGTTATGTGTAATACCAATGGAAATGACAATATGATCATCCAAGTATTTTTTTATTTTGGATACTCTCAACAAGGATTTTAATTCTATGGCTATCCAACTCAAGGAGTGGTTTGGACGTCACTTCCCTGAGTTGGTGAAGTTGGTTGATAATGGTTATCTCTATGCAAGAGTTGTAAAGGTGATAGAAGACATTGATAATGGTTATCTTTATGCAAGAGTTGTAAAGGTGATAGAAGACAAGTCAATGCTGACTGACAATCACATTTCAACCTTAGCAGATATCCTTGGAGATGAAGACAAGGCAAAGGCTTTTGTAGAAGCTACTAAAGCCTCAATGGGTAGGACATACCTTGTACCTATCTATTTTTACGTATAAATAACTTTTATGTTAAACTATATATGTCTAATTATTTGTTCAATTGCATTTTCTTACATGTAGGGCATGATTTGTCTCCAATTGACACAATGGATATTCAACGATTTGCTCCTTGGTGATAAACTTCTATGAGCATAGAGAACAACATTATCATTACCTAGCCTCCAAAGTGAATGATATTGCACCAAACCTGATATCTCTTATAGGTGCTATTGCACCATTTTCTCTTATTCCATCGCCACACAATAAATTTTACTTTTCAACATATTCTTTAAACTCCATGAAGTCAAACCACTTATTCAATAGTGGTTGAAATTGCTTTTGAAGAGAAAAATGGTGCAACTGTGCAAGCCTATAAGAGATACCAGGCTTGGTGCAATATCATTCATTTCGGAGGCTAGGTAATGATAATGTTGTTCTCTATGCTCATAGAAGTCTGTCCAAGGTTAGGAAATCGTTGAATATTCATTATGTCAATTGGAGACAAATCATGCCCTGCATGTAAGAAAATGTAACTGAACAAATAATTAAACATATACAATTTAACATAAAGGTTATTCATATGTAAAAATAGATAGGTACAGAGTATGTCCTACCCATTGAGGCTTTAGCCGTATCTACAACAGCCTTCACCTTGTCTTCATCTCCAAGGATATCTGCTAAGGTTGCTAAGGTTGAAATGTGATTGTCAGTCAACATTGACTTGTAATCTATCACCTTTATAACTCTTGCATATAGATAACCATTATCAACCAACTTCACCAACTCATGGAAGTGACATCCAAACCGCTCTTTGAGTCGGATACCCATAGAATTAAAATCCTTGTTGAAAGTATACAAAATCAAAATTGCTTGGATGATCATATTGTCATTTCCATTGGTATTACACATAACCTTAGTACTGCTATAACTATGTGCAAGGCTACACTGGGCTTTTTCAAAAACCCCATATATCTCTCAAAATGAATTTGGATCCTCTTGAGAGTATATTTATCTGCGTTGTGGCGAATATTTAGTATTGCAAGTGCGGGGCTTTTCGTATCTACACCAAGAATTGCCTTTGGTGATTTGGGGAAGTTGTCATTCAAGAAACGTGAAAGTTCATCTGTAAGAATTCCTGAGAACAAAAAAGTACATTAGTGAAAGACAAGTACTCACAACTAAATCATACCCCAAACAAATACAAAAATCAAACGAAACTAACCTTTAGATATTGCTCACTAGTTTGCTAAATTCCTCATAAGTGTTCAACCATTCTTCAGAAATAAGCATTGCACTCGGAGTTCTGCCCAGTCTATCAAGCTCTCCCGCATCGAAGAGAGAAAACCCCAAACTTGACTCGAAAAGTAAGTAAAGCATACTCTGTAAAATTGCAAACATGCCAAAATTTTCACTTTGTGAAGGACGAAGAACAATCATATTTGACTCAGCCACGTTGCACAAAATTACTACTACCTCCGTCCCAGAGTATTTGTCCACTTTCATTTTTACACACCATCCAATACACTTCTTTAATCCATTTTATCTTGTAATTTGTATATTAAAAAATTATAGAAATTATATATTAATAATCTATATGTTAAGACAAATCAAACAAGATCACACATAACTATATTTAGGCTTACACATTGAGAGAATTTGATGAGTCAAAGTGCTTAGATGAACAGTTCCAAAAGTCANACAAAATTACTACTACCTCCGTCCCAGAGTATTTGTCCACTTTCATTTTTACACACCATCCAATACACTTCTTTAATCCATTTTATCTTGTAATTTGTATATTAAAAAATTATAGAAATTATATATTAATAATCTATATGTTAAGACAAATCAAACAAGATCACACATAACTATATTTAGGCTTACACATTGAGAGAATTTGATGAGTCAAAGTGCTTAGATGAACAGTTCCAAAAGTCAAAACTGGACGAATACTCCGGGACGGAGGGAGTACAATTTATGATTAAAACTCAGATTTGATCAAAATCCACACAAATTGAATGAATTACAAATATAACACGGAAATGATTACTGGAAAACAATCCAAGCGTATCGTGAAAAGTAGGAGAGTGAAAATATTGCACCCAACTCAAACAGTTTCACTAAACCATAACCGAAAATTGTCCAAATAACATTCCTAATAAAAAATCAAACTTTATTTTAATGCGACGAAGCCCAAAAATATAAACCCTAAATTAAAATATGAAATACTTGCAATAAAACACAGCCGTTTTTACCTTGAAGTCTAAAAATAGTTCACCGATAAACAGAGTGAGTCACTTAATTGACCGACAGACGCGCCATCGCACTGGACGAAACATCATATTGCTGCAAATGTCTAAATGGCTAGGTAAACTTTAAGAAAATTCATAAACATTTAACAGCGAATGCAGTTTGTTAGATTGGATGCAATTTTTCAGGAAATTTGCCAGAGGTGGGCAAAAATACCTACACCAAATTGTTCCAAATCGAACCCAGGTGGTAGCGAACTAAAAAATAGATTTTCAAATGGATCTACTAAGTTATATACATAACGAAATTGTTCCGTTTCCAAAATGGCACGGGAAAGGTTCTCAAAAAATGAGAACTGAAGATCTTGAACCAGACCATTACTATCCTAGGCTAAGGCCATTTTAAACACTATACATTCGGAGTCCTGAACCAATTAGAGAGAATATCAAATTGATCAAGGGGGCTGGGAACATTGAACCAACAACCTAGTTGAATTCCACAAGAGTAGTGTCTGGAGAGGGTGTGTGTACGCAGACCTTACCCCTACTCGAAAGTAGAGAGCTGTTTCCAAAGAGACCTCCGGCTCAACGTTGAAAGTTGCATTGATTGACTAACTGCTACTTCATTAATCAAAGAAGCGCAAACAGTTTAGAGATCCATTTTGCTTTATTCCATTACACCCCAAAGCCAAAAAACGGGGAATTTTTGGCTCCATCGGAGATGATGGAAAAATAATTATACAAAATATAAACACCAAGAATACAACACTAGAGTAATTATTACTAAGAGGCAGCACCAATAATAGAAATATAGCACAGCACAATAAGCAAGATTAAAAAACTCAACAAAAGCAATACAGATACACAACAGCCAATAATGCAGAAAAATAGAAAAAGGCAGCAGGGTGGGGCGGAGGCAGGTAGAAGCAGGGTGGCTGGTAGGATCTGGGTTGGATTAAGCTGCCTACGTGTGGATTACGGTTGAACGGGGGAGGAGTTCTGCGACCTGAGGTTGGGGTGGGGTGGCAGGCCACTGGGGGCGTCGTCTGGGGTTCAGCAGTGGGTGGTTGGGGGCACTGTCTAGGGCTAAAGGCTGGCGCAAACTAGTCAAAGGCCTTCGGGGAGCGGAGATCGATTTGGAGGATGGCTGGTAAATCAGTGAAGGAGGCTGGTAGTGCTTCGGGGAGACCGGCGACTAAGGATCCGACTGCTGGGACAGATCTGGTTAGGGATGTGGGGGTTAAAGTTTCCGGCTAGGTCTGGGGATGGGGTGAACTTACCTGGGCCTTAGTCGTTGCTCGCCGTCGCCTGCCGCCGGCCTATGCCTCCGTCGGAACCACCACTGAGCAGGGGAGGAGATCACAGCAGTCAGAAACTAGGTTATTGAGAAAGAGGTTATCGGTCAAATTGTGTCAGAGCAAACAGAGAGAAAGTCAACAAGCCAAGCTGATTATTATTACTCCTCCAGTTTCTCAAAACAGTTCTCTTTTGACTTTGGGGAAAAATAAGAAAAGTGTAACCTAGTCTGTCTAAAAACATCCACCACCATGATCATTACGAGAGTGGTTTCAACCTAGTCTGTCTAAAAAGAGTTCAGCAACCCATGTCTATCAAACTATTTGATCTAAAATACTCTTTTAATTATGTTAGACAACACTTCCTTCATTAAATAGTTTGATCTCAGCGACCCATATATACCATCTACTTCCAAAATAGCTCTTAAGAATGTTTTCGTACCCAATCCCCGAGTAAAATAGGTTAACCCCATACAACCATGATAGTATGATACGAAAGAGTTCAAAAAGTAGCTTCAACGGAAAGTTTATCTGCTAAAACAGCTCTGTTGTAATAGAAAACTGTCAGAAGCACTTTCGTATAAAATGGTTAACTCCCAAATCATTCCGGCTTTGCAAGAGGCAAACAAACGATTATCGTAAAGGGTTTAGATCTCAAAACAACACAAATTCAGAAGAAATTAATCAAATAATTCCTAGGAAAATTTTATATAAAGACTTTACTATAAATCAGCTCACTTAAGAAGTGTTTTTCAACAGAACAGTACTTCAAAAGTTTAAACATCTAAAATAACTCTCGAAAGTAACCTAGTCAAAATAGCTCATTTGAAAATTTAACCATTGTAAACTCAGAAACACTTATTTGTAATATAGATTACTTAGCCTTACTTTTACATACTCAAAATGCAATATAATATAGGTTACTTAGCCTTACTTTTTACATATAGAAAATGACAAATGACTCGTGTAAGGCAAAACTAGTAAATGCCTTATTTGAAGGTAACTCAAGATTTGCATGTAACAATGAAACATAGTTTTGACATTCTCCTCCCCTGAAGGCTTGTGGAAACCCTTCTTATGCTATAAATATTCGGGTGCTAAAGCACTTGCTACTCAGTAGTATACTTTCCCAAACAAAGGGATAGTTAATGGGTGTTTATCTTCACCACAATCTATGACTACTATTTTGCTTGGAAGAAGGTATCCATTGAATGAGGTTTATAATCCAATGAATTGAAACATTTACGACATTACCGCCAATCTATCATATGGTTGATATTGTAAAACGAACATAGATGACCAACCATACGTTTCAACTTTTATATTTTAAAGGGGGGTAAGTGATTGTTTCAACAACTTAATGCAAGAAATGGAACATCTCCGTTAAAATTCCATTTGACTATGTGACTATGCTAAGTAAAACGGATGAATCCCTTACGATTATTTTAACATTCCAGTTTATACCACTCTCAAATAGATAAATAATCCGGCTAGCACACTTAACAACATGCCCATATCGTAATCACTTAACATCTCACAGAGACCAAGCTTTCTTCAACATCAAGTTCCTATTTCCCTCCCAGTACCATCACTCAACTTTATTTAATTTCCTATGAGGTAATCATGCACTTTGAAGGTCGTTGCTGCCCTGGGCTTAAGGATCATCTATCGGTCACTGCTCAACCTTCTTTAAAACTTGACTATACGATGTCAAACACAACTAGTGAATCGTCACGATATTACCAAATGGGTATTCGAAGTTCCCAATGATCTTTGGTGCGCCATACTAGTTGTTAAGCAGCCTACAATAATGGTCAGAGGCTACCATCCATATCAAAAGTATACCAGTGTAGAAAAGAAATTTCCTTCCTCATGGTTCGAAGGAGGAGATTTCAACAATCATCTTAAAAGCTTATAGGGTAACTTAAACCACTAGGCGTGTTAATAACGTTAGCCTATCAGGTAAACTCATGAAATGGTACAAACGAATAAACAACTTTGGAAGGCTAGTATCGTAGTACACTATTTGTTAAGGGCACCTACCTAACAACGAGGGACCATTAGCTTGAGTCAACCTTATCCTTGTATTACTAAAATCCGATACACATGTTGACGAAAGGAAAGAGTTTAAATTTGAAAACTTTCTTTTGGGAAACTTCGCTTTGATACCACAAAAATTGTCAGAACCCGAACACCCCCTCCCCCCCTACTTTGAATCGTCAACAATCATCATATCCTAGGTGGAGTCCGCGGACTAACTAGAGTCCCCCTTGATTATGCTAGGTAAACGCTAAACCCTTGGTTATCAAAAACAAAAATGACACCAATAACTCACGTTCAAAACAAACAAGGCATGTGAGGACGTCTAACAAAAATATTGTAATTTCAGCCACACACGGCTTCCAAGGCACGTAGGCCAAAACAAATTTGACACCAGTAAACAGTTCAGTCTAGATGAGTTCTATCATAAACAAGACAAGATAACAAATCACCAAGACAAAAGAAAAGTCTTGAAAATCGAAACATGGAACCACGAGTACTGCGAATCGACGCACCTAGAATGAAATCAGAGAAGAGGGGTCAGTTGTCAGTACAAAGCAGCATACCGGTGAGTACAAAAGATATCCTACACCTTACATAACAATCCTGTGTTCGTGCAAATAAGTAATTAATAGATTAACACTTCATCACAGCCCAGCGAACGGTGAACTATTCAGTAGTGGATAAGTATATAGTCCATGTCTGTCTTTTGTGTTTGTAGCAACTAAACAAGAAAAAATGTAAGACATACCCGAAACCCTTTCCGGATTCGAACATGCTAGGCACTCTGATCCACGATCGAAAGGAGACCTACCATACAGGATGTCCATGGATCCCTGGAGCCTCCTCCAGGGGCCAAGGCATAGTCACCTAAATCGTGGCGCGTTCCGGTACACGTACGCGGTTTGGGTACGATATTCGCTAGAGGTGACGAATTCGGTACGAAGGGGGATAGGATCATTTCGGTACGAAGCGGTACGGTGTACCATGTATTCAGTTCTTCGTTTTTTCTTACTTTATTTTTCGAATATCATTTCCATTGATCGTGATCCCAGCCCCAGAACCGGACAATCTCTATTCCCGATCTCTCTCACAATCTGAATCGCAAACCGGCGATAGTAGGAGTGAATCGGTAACCATAGTTCGATCTGAACCGGATCGGGATTTTTTGGTATGCCGTACCACCGACGTTCGGATCGCAATCAAATTGCAATTGGGTATAGGTACACCGCGTACCAAAACAGAAGATGCAGTTGTAGCATCGAATTCTGTGACTATGGACCAGGGGTATGAACCCCATTGTTGCCCATTAGTGTGATGGGGGTTGCCCATTGCCCACATCCCTCAACACCAAAGGCACGAATCCTGCATGTTGGGCGAGCACATATCATCTTATCCATCCTACGGCTGTACACAAAGACCACCCTTGACTCAAGAGCCAAAAAATTCATTCCCAAAGGGATTCTTGAAAAATTCAACAACATGCACATCAAAATGTTGGGAAAAACTTAACTATACCCTCTGTATTTATATATACAAATAACGGTAGGGTTCCCATGACATTAAAAGGGGTAGTGGGGTGTGTTCAGGTCGGGGCGGGATGGGGGGTTTACCGGGGGGTTAGGGGGGATAGGAACCGTCAATTTTACGAACGGGGTATTGGAGCGCCCCCGGGTCATCCCATGACATTGCCGGGCAATGTCATTGGAACCTCTCCATACAAATAAATATATCAACACAATAAACTACGGAGTATGACTTAGATGAACAGGAGATAACATTCCATTGTCGTCCTAGAATTAGGTAAACTATTACACAAATGATTTGGTCAACTGTTAATTTCAATGTTGACACCTCGCCCATACAGTACTGCTTTCATACGGCGGGAGTCATTGGTTCAAATCCAATAGTAGATCTAACTTATTAGATATGGATCTAATAAGTTGTTCTGTTTTTTTATGAGTGTAGCCCGCTGCTCCAAGGTCAAACCTGACGTAGCCAACCACCGTTGTTTCCAGCTTCCCTGCGACCAGACCCAGGCCTACAGGCCACGCTGCCTAAGCAGCACGTCCGGGCCCAGGCCCAAAGGTAACTTCCAATGCAGTGTGACCCGACCAAGGCTCGCCTGGGTTTATGCAGCCAGGAACGTCCTAAGGCTTCCTGACAAAGACCGATGGCCAGGGCCACATGACCACCACCACCGACGCCCAACATGATGCCGGTCGTTCCTCTCCCCACATGTCCTTTCCTCTCCAACGGGAACGAAGAAATCAACAGTGAATTCAACCCAATACTCAACATTTCTTAATTCCAAGAAATTTACAATTTCCCCGCTCACCTCTAGGACAAGAATCCGAAGTGGTACTCCGAGCTTTCTAGTTGTCATCCTTGAGTACCTCAAACCTAATTCTATTGTTCACAAAATTTTAAATGTCCCCTCTTTTTTTGATTGTTTAACTTCTACTCCCCAAAAATTATAGTAAGTGCATATGATATCTAAAATGCTGGGAGAGTGGGATACCACAAAAATTGTCACATTTATAAGACAATCACCAACTCAATTAACAATATATTTTGATAAAGGTAACTTGGTACACAAACCCTCATTATTTTAAACTAGATTGCCTTGTAACTCGTAATTGATGTCATAGCAAATCAATCTGTTTGAAATTGTACAAGAAGCCCACTAATGTATAAATTACTGATATTACAATTTATTATTATTATTATTATTATTATTATTACTATTATTATTATTTATTTTTCATCCAACCCATCACTTGAAAAAATAAAAAATTTGCCCAATAATTCCACAAATACACTATTACTAGAACAGTCTTCACAAAGAGCATATATTTGAAAGGATTTTCCAAATCAGCCCTTCAAAAATCACTTCACCAAAACTCAAATATGTATTATAATCACTTACCAATATCATCCAGACTAAGCTTTCTTCAACATCAAGCTTCTAGTTCCCTCCGAGGACTATCACTCAACTCTATTTCCTACGAGGTCATCTGCCACCCTGGGCTTAACAATCTATCGATCACTCCTTGACCTTCTTTAAAAAATTGACAATACGAAGTCAAACACAACTTGTGAATCGTCATCATAGTTATGAAAGGCGATTGGGGAGTGGCGGGAGAGAGGACCTTTTCTGTGGCGAGAGGCGTGGCGTGTGGGGGGTGGTCAAATGGCAAACAAAAAAAGGCGAATACACACACACAACTTTCAAATGGCGTGTTTACTTTTTTTTATTTTCAACATTCCAAATCTTTTTTTGGAAATCTTATTACATAAATAAAATTTTAGTCATTTCATACAATATACTCAATTATTAATGGAATTATTGATTTTAGAATAAGTAAGAAAATAAATAATTACATTGACAATTGAATATATTGTATGAAATGACTTTAAATCATGGTTTTAAAAGGCAAAAAGGCGGTCTGCCTCGAGGCGGAAAGGCGGTCAGATCTAGCCTCAGAGGCGTCCGCACCAGGTGGGATCTGTGAGGCGTACGCCTTGTTTTTCCGAGGTCGTCCAAGGCGGTTGAGGCGATAAGGCGTTTGTGAGGCGGTAGCCTCGGTTTGGATCTTGTTTCGTGGGATCGGCGATTAACCAAAACAAGCAGAATTTCGATCGACAGGTCAAGCGCCTCTGTTTTTACCCGATCAGACTCTTCCGAGTTCCTACTCTATAATTTCTTTTCTTTTTTTTTTTCTTTTTTTTGACGGCTCTACTCCCTTTCTTTTTAAGAAGCTCCCAGAGCTCTACTCCCTATTTCTTTTTTATTTTCTTCTTTTCGGACCGCTACTCCCTGTTTTCTTATTGCACTTGTGGTCTTATCACAATTTTCTTTACCTAGGTACTTTTTTCCTTTTTATTGAGCTTTTTTAATACTCCGTACTCCATATACTCCGTTTGTATTTACTCCATTCTTCCTTCACTTTTTTATTCAAAACTTTTTTTACTACGCCTACAACTTTATTATTTTAGGAATCAAGTTTTAAATGATTTGTGACACTTAGGTATTGTGTTTTCTTTAATTAAAACATATTAGTGTTACATACATACATACATACATACATACCTACCTACCTACCTACCTACCTACCTACATACATACATACATACATACATACATACATACATACATACATACATACATACATACATACATACATACATACATACATACATACATACATACATACATACATACATACATACATACATACATACATACATACATAGGATCTTACAATCTGAGTTACAATATCACGAGTTACAATCTTTTTTTAGCCCATAGATCCTACGCAGTATCTCGAGTTTGACTACCTTGAGTATAATTTATGAAATCTGAAATCATATTATTAAATAAGTCCCCTTTTGACCATTATATTTTTGAAGGTTTGTGTCATTTAATATTAAATATATCAAGTCACTGATGTTTCGTGATGATTTCAATTCTAGATTATTTTGAAAGCTGAATTTCATGTCATTTATTGTTATTAAATATGGTGGTTTTTTAGTCTCTTGGTTGTGATTTGTGCAATACCTTAAACTTTGTTTTGTATATTAATGTTTTAGACGATGATAGGCTGAGTTTTGAGTAGTCTAAAACTTGGAGACTCAAATTGTAGTGTCAAAATAATACCATGAATATGGATTATTTAATTTCTTTTTTATTTTACCCTTTTTTGTTTAAATGAAAACCTATGTATGATTTTATGATTTAGTTTACATAATTATGGATCCTCTATTTTTTGTACCTAAAGAGTTTTTATTATGGTTTTTTTTCCAAGTTGAACTGAGGCTTACGCCTCAAGGCATTTTGCCTAACCGCCCTGAGGCTCGTTTTCGCCTTTTAAAACCTTGCTTTAAATTTTATTTATATAATTAGAATTCCACAAAAAAAAGATTTGGAATACTGAAAATAAAAAAATGAACAAATAAATATAAACAAAAACACAAAACTGAAAGTTTAATAAAAATCATAACCGAAACCTGACCATATATGCACAGGGGAAGCTTAAAGCATAGGATAGGAATTTCTTTATAAGATCTAAATGAAATCTGGGCCTGGTTGGGAAAGCTTGTACTGTAGTCTACTGTTTTGTTAGGGGCACCTACCTAACAACCAATGACTATCAGCTTGAATCAACCTTATCCATGTATTACTGAAATCCTATGCTCATGTAGACAAAGAGGAAAGAGTTTAAATTTGAAAACTTTCTTTTGGGAACTGGCTTTGATACCACAAAAATTGTCACGACCCGACCCCCCCCCCCCCCACACCTCGAATTGTCAACGATCCCCGTGTCGTAAGTGGAGTCCGCCTACAGGCTAAAATCCTCCTTGACTATACTAGGTGAACACTAAACCCAGGGTTAGAAAGAATTAAAACAACACCAATAACTCCTCGTTCAAAACAAACAAGGTGCGTATAACAAAAATATCGTAATTTCAACCACACACGCCTTCCAAGGCACGTAGGCCAAAACAAAATTTAACACCAGTAAACAGCTCAGTCAACATGAGGTCTATCATAAAAAAGACAAGATAAGCAAATCACCAAGACGACAGAAAAGACTTGACAATAGAGAATTGGAATCACAAGCGCTGCGAAATCTACGCACCTAGGGTTAAATCAGAGAAGAGGAGAGTCAATACAATGGCGCATACCAGTGAGTGCAAACACCGTACAAACGTACATTACAATCGGTTAACACTTCACCATAGCCCAACGAAGGGTCAACTATTTTGTACTCCTCCCTCTGCCCCCCTGTATTTGTCCACATTTGACTTTTGGAACTGTTCATCTTAGCACTTTGACTCATCAAATTCTCTCAATGTGTAAGCCTAAATATAGTCATGTGTGATCTTGTTTGATTTGTATTAACATATAGATTATTAATATATAATTTTTATAATTTTTTAATGTACAAATTACAAGATAAAATAGATTAAAGAAGTGCATTGGATGGTGTATAAAAATGAAAGTGGACAAATACAGGGGGACGGAGGGAGTAGTTGATAACTATACAGTCCCTGTGTGTCTGTAGCAACCAAAGCAAGAAAAAAATGTAAGACATACCCAAAAGCCTTACAGATTTCAATATGTTAAGCACCCCGTGGTGGAACAAAGACCTACCATAAAGGAGGTCAATGGATCCTTGGAGCCTCCTCCTATTGACTAAGGGTATGAACCCAACTGTTTCCAATTGGTGTGCCGGGGGTTTCCCACGTCCCCGACCACCAATCATACATGCTGGCAAGCAGACATCATATATTATCCGTCCTACGGTCATACTGATGGACCACCCATGACTCAACAGTCATACAATTCATTCCCAAAGGGATCTTGACAAATTCCACAACATGCACATCAAAATGTTGGGGATAACATAAGTATACCTTCTCTTTTCTATATACAACCATACAAGTAAATCTATCAAAACAGTAAACTATAACCAAGAAGAACAGGATATTACATCTAACTGTCGTCCTAGAATCTAGTAAACTATTACACACAAAAAGTGAATCGAGGAGGCAGCGCAACCCGACCTCAGGCCTTCCCGAGTCCCGACCAAGACCGAGAGCCAGGGCAACTCGGAGACCACCACCCACGCCCAAACATATGCCGGTCGTTTGTCCGTCCCAGGTCCTTTCATCCCCAACGGGAACGAAGAAATCGACAATGAATTCAACCCAATACTCAAGATTTTATTAATTTCAATAAATTCACAATTTCCACACTAACCTCTTAGACGATAATTTGAATTGGTCCCCCGAACTTTCTGGTTGTCGCACGCCGGCGTGTAGTCACCGTCGTCGGATTCCTCTTTTGTTCTCGCTCATCTGTGCGTTGTTCCAACTTCCAAGAAGAGAGGGAATTGACGCCACTTTCAACTCATTCGTACGGGAGTAATGGTATCACATTTGTCCACCACTCCCTTCTCTATCACATAATTTTTGTTTCATTTTTAATTATTTATTGATTTTTTTTAATGTGAAGAGCTTATCGGATATAGAAGACATAGACTTAAGTGCAACTACAAAGCCGGCCCACAACATTCCACTTAGATCTAGAAATAAAATCATTCCCGGGGCCCCAACCCCCGCAAGGGTAAGGCCTAAAGTCAGATAATCCAGATCAAGAAAAAATGTTCTGAGCCAAGAAATGCAATCGACGCAAGTCCAGTCTAAAATCCAAAAAAAGCCTAACTAAAAGAAGAAAGAAATAATATGTGCAAGAATAATCTATGTGAGCCGAGGAAGAGCCTATAATGTAAGCCCAAAAGGCCCAAACCCTGAAAAACCAAGAAAATCAGCCCAATCAACTCGACCCAAACCCATGACGAAGCCCAATT